GCACTGGTTGGAGTGTGAGGACATGTCTCCAATTATTTCCCAAAGATTCTGGAGATTGGCAAAAATCAACATGAATTTGGCTCAAGACAACTCCCTTTCTTTGCCCTTAATTTTTAAGCCTTTCAGGAGAAATTTAATCCATGTGTTTCGGGTTTGTTTACATTTAAACTATCAAAACAGTGTTTGTAAGAGGCATTTGATGTCCTAGAACCTTCTGCCCTTCTTTTTTAAAGGCCTTTGGTCTTTGAACCAGGAAGCTGTTTTGTGCCAAGCTGCACAGGCCGTGCCTGGTAGGAATGCTCAGCAGGCCCCCTCTTGTACCTTCCCACCTGCCCTCTGGCCCTGGAGGATCTGCTGGGGTCCAAGAGATCCCCCCTCAACCCTTAAGAACCTCCAAAGAATGCAAAGACAGCCCTGAAGAGCCATCCGGCTAGAAACCGTCTGCAAGGCTCCGTATGGAAGAAAGCTGCTTGAGTTCGTTGAACACCTACCGTGTGCCGGGCATGGCGCTGAGCTGCGAACCACTCGCCGAGGTAGGTGTTTTCCTCACCCCCTTTTATAGTCCAGAAAACTGAGGCCGAAAGAGAGTCAGAGAATTGCCTGTGGGGTGAAAGCAGCCGGGTTTGGAGGAAGAGGTCTTGAGCATTTTAGATGCAGGATCCGAAGTCAGAAACTGTGCTAAACCACCAGCTGATTGGGCGGAGGAGGCTCATGCTTGGAAGGCACCAGCTGCCTCCGGCTTGTGCATGGACGAGGGGGCCATGGTGCTGGCATTGGCCACTCCTCCTCGACTCACCTCCTCCCTGAGGCCCCTTCCCTGCTCCCTTCCCTCCTTCCTGCACAATCTCCCTCTCCACTGTTTTCTTTCTCTCTCTTTCTCTCTCTCCCTCCTTCCCATATTTATGAATTTAAAGGGCTCCCATGACTTTTTTCCTCTGGGCGTTTCCTTTCAGTCGTTTATTACATTTATTTTCACATAATCATAATCATTCTGTGCATATAATTTTACACCCTTCTTTTAGCCCCTTACTTTGACTACTGAGAATGTTTGCACAGTATCAGAAATGTCTGCTGGGCCAGCTGGTAGTGTCGCAGTTAAGGCAGCTGGATCCCATATTGCTGACCACACAGCCCGAGTCCTGGACCCAGCAGTTTGACAAACACGCTAGGCACGTGCATGCATGCCTAAAATCCCAAGAGGAAAATGAAGGAGAAGGGATGGCAGCATAGCCATACCCCACAGGGGCCGATTTCTCACTTCTCCTCTCTCTCTTTCTCCTTCTCTGGACAGTGCATGTGCTATGTAGCAACATTTTTAAAAAAAGTCTTAAAGCTGCATCATAGTCTAAGATATGCAAATACTATCAGACTTCACTAATTTTCTGTTGATAAACTTTTAGGCTAATTTCAATTTTTTTCTGTTAAAATTAACCCCTTGGGGCTGGCCCCATGGCTTAGCAGTTAAAGGAGTCAGATCCCACATAGTTAACCGTGATTTCAATCCTGGCCATAGTGACTCGAAAAACATGCCAGGCACGGGTACAGGCCCCAAATCCTGACCAGATGGAGAGATGGAGGAGAAGGGACTGTGGTGTAACCCCACCCAATAGGAGTGCTTGCTCCCTCTATCTTTCTCCCTTTCCTTCTCTCTCTCTCTTTGGTGAATGCATGTGCCCTTCAGCAAAAGGGGAAAAAAATAAAGGTGATAAATACCCTTGTCTCAAATACGTTTACTCATCAATAATTCTTTCCTTAGGAGAAATTCACAGAGAATTGCTGGCTTGAGGGAAGGCTTTTGCTGCAAAGTTCACGAGGCCACAGAGTGGGTAAGAAGATAACCCAGGCTAGAACTTCCCAGATGTTGACCTTGGGCCGGGTGCTTTGTCTCGGTGTGTATAAGTGGTCTTGTCTGTAAAATGGACTTAGTAATTCTTACCTCCTAGTGCGGTTCAAGGTCTAGAAAACGAATGTAAGCTCTTAGCACAGTGGCTGGCACCCAGAGACCCCTGTCCCCATCTCCCTACCCCTCTACATACTCAAACCAGTGGGGACCGAGACGGCTCATTTCCCTCAATCACTGCCAACATCAGGAATTATTGGTCTCTTTCATTTTGACGACCAGATCACCGAAACTGATTTTGCGTTATTTTAATTTCTTCGTGTTAGGGATCCCCACCAGTCACGCGAATGAAGTGCTAATATGACATTTGTGAAGGTGGATGTGGGATAAGTGCAGTGGAGGCTGTGCAGACTGGGCAAATGCTATAGTTTGGCATAACTGGATCCCTCCCAAATAAATACCTACAAAGGCTCATCTTTCAAAAATCTAATCTGACACGGCCACATCTCCTGACTAAATTGCTGAGATCCATGTATCTCAGGCAACTGTGAGACAAACTGGCTCGCAAGCTGGTCTGATAAGGTAGACTTTGTAAAGAAGGTGGCTGCCTATTTTAATCAAAGCAAAAAGTTTTACTGGGAGTAAAGAAGTAGACCTAGTTCAAACAAATAGTAAAGTGAGATCCCTGCCTCACACCATATACCAAAATTTATTCTTGGTGGACCAAAGACTAAAATGTCAAGCAAGTGATCAAATAAATAAATTAAGTAAGAGAACTAAAAGAAATTGCAAAATAATTATGAATGACTATTTTATAATCTCAGAGTCAGGAAGTCTTTTGAAGCATGGTGTGAAAGACAAACCAAAGAACAATTTTAAGTGCCTAAAAACCAAACTCTGAACCACAAGTAAAATATTATAAACAAGTTGGGAAATAACAAGAGAAAATGAAGGGGAAACATGAAAGAGACAAACATGATATAGAGCCTTAATACAGAGAGTAATTGCTAATCAATACATTGAATATAAATGCTCCTTAACTTATGATGGGGCTACACCCCTACAAATCCATCAATAGCTGAAAATGTCCTATGTCAAAAATTCACTTAATACTCTGATACACCCATCATTAAGTCAAGAAGTCATAAGTCAAACCACTGTAAGTCAGAAACCACCTATATACTAATAAGATATAAACAGAAAAACACCTAAACAAAACATCTAAATGGCCAAAAAAAGTAAAGAAAA